TCTCTCTCTCTCTCTCTCTCTCTCTCTCTCTCTCTCTCTCTCTCTCTGTGTGTGTGTGTGTGTATGTGTATAACTCACTGTAGTATGCAATGTATTTTCTCTTACAATCATTTTTGGATACCAGATTGCTATTCTGAGCTTTCTTTCCCAGGATCACCAGCAGAGACTTAAGCTGATGTTAATACCATGGCTGTTTCTAAGAAACCTCCCACTGAGGCAAGAAATTCTTATTCGTGGAACCGCTTGGGGTTGCAGGATTAGATACAGCAAACTGGATGAGTTTTTGCTGCCGCCGCCACCACCAAGGCAACATGATAACAAAGCTAATAAAAAAGGAAATGATTCGGACTTGCCATGTCATTATGGCCTTATGAATCACACCGAGGCACCTGTGCTTTCTCCTGTGGAGGATGTGCTTAGCACTGTTGTTCCGTATCTTTTGCCTGACTGGCAGAGAATGTTCCTCAGCAGGTGAAGAGGAACATTAAGCTCAAACATGACCTTGTTCCAAGTTACGCTGACTTCTTGAATCACCATAGCCAAGAGCTGGGTCACCAGAAAGCACTTGCTGCCCTTGCTCTCTTTACAACATGTGAGGGATGCCTTTGTACGGAGGGAGAAGAGCCACTTTGTGGGCTGCAGGAAGCAAGCCACTTCAGCCCGTTAGGGAACAGACATGTGTTTTGAGGTCTCAGAATGAAGGAAGAGGAGGAACGTCAGACTCTTAATGATCCTCTCTGATTTTAGAGAAAAGTTGAGAAAGGGGAAAGAGATTTGCCCAAGGTCACACTGTCAGAGAGGTAGGCAGAAAGGTCAGAGTGTGTACATATATTCAGATTTTTCTATCGTGATAGAATCAGGAAGCATACGTTAGAAAAGAAATCAGAGGTTCCAGAATCACATTCCTAGGGAAGTCTGGATCTGCCGCCTGAGCTTGTAGAGACCCGGACCTCAAGGAAGAAAAGCAATCCAGTAGAACCTAATAAACTATGTCCTGGGGACCAGCTTTCTCAGGACCTGCTCAAGCTAGGAACAATGGCAAGGGTCTAGACTCGCAGGGTTACATATCGATGGGCTGGCTATGAAGGTTTCTGCAGCTGGACTCTTGTAGCATAGGGGATCCTACCTCCTAGCTCTTGCAGGACTGGAAAAGGAGACGTGAAGCCAGCTGAAGGTACAACCTTAGTTTTCATCTCTCTTACTCCCTGGCTGTTGTATGTGTCCCTGTCACCTAACATTACCATGGCTGTGGGTCTGGACTCCCATCGAAAGTTCTCCTGTTGGTGGTGTCGCTGCTCCCTTCCTCTCACCTCACCTATGTCTCAATCTTTGTCTTAGCTCCAAGTTCCTACTACTTACCTCTATTAAGCCAGTTCTGTCGTGGGATCCTTTTGGTCCTACCTGTGATACTTACTACCTAGCCACACAAGACTATATTGGATCTCCTCTTCTCCGCACGTGACTTGCCAACCTCACACCCATCTATTTACAA